CGGAAGGCTGAAACCCGAGCCGGGAGCGGGGGAGGGGCAGCTTGGCCCCCGCCGGGGACCAGAGGAGAGCAGGGCTGGGGGGCAGCCCCCTGACGATCCCGAGGTCCTGTGCCCACGTTGGCCCTCACCCGCAGTGTGTTATCGTTTTGTCAGTGGTCAGCATGCGCTACACTGTTTTGTAAAAATCCTAGTTGGGAAGCAAAAGAAAATAAAGGCAACATTCATGAAGCTGCAGAAAAGATTCTTTGTTCACGCACCAATTAATTTGTCGATGTCGCTTTGAAAAGGTCATTTACTATTGCAAGCTATATTTGGCATACTTTAACCAAAATTGCGGAATTTAAAGTGTCGGGATTTTTTAATGTGATTATTTTAAAAGAAAGTTCTAGCAGTTTATTTGGATTCTTTTCAGCACACATTCCAGTTACATTATTTAATAATAGCTCACTGAAAAATAAGGACCATGTTAATGGAAGGATACTTTCGATTCTTTCATAGTGACAGGCAGAAATAACGCTTTCGGATGCCCCTTTTAAAGGGCCTCAGGCTGCCTCCAATATAAAACACCATGAGAGACTGCTGATGCTAGGACGGGCCAGGATTTACTCTGGGGCTCCTCCATAAACATTAAAATTCTCCCAAACACCCAAAACCCTGTTAAAAATGTTCTTGTTTATCCTTTTAGTTATTGGCTCTGCTTTGAAATTGGGCTTTTTTTCTTTTCTCAATGGACCCGTTTTGGGAAACAGGAGGTGTTTGAAAGGGTCCTGGGAAGACTGAGGTAGTGTCAGCAGCTTTTTATTAGGAACCAGTATTGCTAGTCTGAAACAGTGTTTTAGTTACTTGTCCATAGGTAGGGCAGGACAGGAGACATTCTCTATGTCGTTTGTTTATTATTCCTTTCTTGTTGCCTGAGATGGCTCTGTGTTATTCAGGCTAACTTTTAGTCTTCCCTCCTCAGCGTCCCAAATAGCTGTAATTAGTCATATATTAGTAAAGAAGGTCAGTGGGGAAAAAAAAAAAAAAAAAAAAAAGCAAAAACTAATCTGGTCTATATAGTGAGCTACAGAACAGCCAGAGTTACATAGTGAAACCCTGCCTCAAATAAATGAGTTCCCTTTGTACCCAAGTACAGTTTCTTTTAGTCTCTGGAAATAAGCATCCTGGAAGATTCAAATGTGCTGTGTCACATTTCCTCTTGGACCAACAGAAAACATGTTTTTCTCAGCATTCCCCTCCAAGGACCCAGCAGTCAAACATAGAGACACATAAATATGAACTTTTTTTAGATGGTTTTTCACTATATTGTCCAAAATGGTCTAGAATTACAGGGCTTACTAAGCAGTCTTCCTATATCAAATTTCCAGAGTAGCTCACACCATAGATGTTTAATGAAGCTAAACTTGCCATATCTTATACCATGGGTGAGCCATAAGGACATCATGCTACACTAAACAAGCCAACATGAAAAGATGAGTACAATATCATCCCACTAAAGTAGCCATGGTCTTAGGGATAGGAGGTAGGACAGAGTGTCAGGAGCTGGGGCAGGGAAGGAGTGTTATTCACGACTTTAGACTTTCAGTTTTAGAAGATGAAAAAGTTATAGAAATCAATTGTACAATAAAGTACACATAGCTAATGTGACTTTTACCAATCACTAAAACATGATTAAGATAGTAAGTTTTCTGTTGTTACTTAAACGACGATACAAAGGGCATAGGAACACACGAAAAAGACACCAGCTGTAACTGGGAAGCTGAGAAAAGGAGAAAGCATTCTTTTTCTCCTCCAGTTTTGAGTGTTTTAACCAGGCCAGGTAGACAAGGGTGATAGTAATATAGTAAGATACACAGGACTTCCACTGTGCTCTTAGGAAGCTAAGCCTGTTGAAGCCTCCTAGATTTTCAATATATATATTCTCCACATGGTATACTCCATCTTTTTTGGAAATGTGTTGGTTCCTTGATAAACCTGATATGAGCTAACATGCTCAGTAGTTAATAGTGGTGCATGCAGAGTACAGGATGAAAAGTTCAGCAAATGTCTAGCTCAGTGCTACAGAGCATTAGGGAAGAGTAAGCAACATCTTAAAAGATAGAGAAAGCCTGGGTAGATCTGGAGAGAAAGGGTAAGGGAAGGAATTTAGGAAGAACTGGATGGCTCAGGCAAATCACAGGGAGAGGTACGGAAACATGCATGGTGGTTATTCCAATAGCAAGAGATGAAGTGAATGTTGCATGCAAGACTGGCAATAAACAGTGGTGAGCTAGTATACTTTGGCTATAGGCTGGGCATGCTAGTTGAGTCCCCCTCTCCAAGGAAGTGGCCTGGCTGGAGTGAAGACATTCTAAAGAGATCTCTTTGGCAAAGAATTTCTCCCAGGAATCTTACTGTGAGAAGGAAAGGGTGAAGTGCCAGCTAGATGAGGAAGCTGTCATCAGGAAGAGATTTCATGAGTTCAGGCAATTTGAGTCAAGCTTTCAGGAAAAACTGGAACTGAGACAATGTTGATGGGGGAGGAGACCATACTGTGACCAGGTGCATGCAACTCTTGCCCTCTGTTTAAACCTGAACCTCATGTCTGAGCCTGAAGATGGACTCAGGGAGTCACTGGACCTCTTTATGTATTCGTTTTCCTAGGGTTGTCACAGTGAATAACCCTTTCTGTGCTTTTCAGCATTACTTGTCTGTCTACTTGGCCTATTGGAGACTGGTTAGAGCTGCCAAGGCCCATACTTTGTCCCTAACAGTTTCAGTAACACCCTTCTCTCCATGGGACCACTAGATGTTCAACAAACCTTTTTCACTTCTAAGATAAATAATCAAATTTTCTAAACTTTCTGGATATATATTCAGCCATGTGATTCATTCTCACCAATGGCATGCAATACTGATGAGCAATTAAGAAAAGGTGCACTTGCTGGGAAGTAGTGGCACACGCCTTTAATCGCAGCACATGAGAGGCAGAGAGTTCAAGCCAGCCTGGTCTATAGAGCTAGTTCTAGGACAGCCAAGGCTACACAAAGAAACCATGTCTAAAAAAAAAAAAAATCAAAAAGAAAATGAAACAAAAAGAGAAGGCATACTCCTACAAAGGGTGGGGTACCTCCCCCAGACACCATAGGCTATCAGATAAAAACCCCAGTGTCACCAGGCGTTGGTGGTACACGCCTTTAATCCCAGCACTCGGGAGGCAGAGGCAGGCAGATCTCTGTGAGTTCAAAGCCAGCCTGGTCTCCAGAGCAAGTGCCAGGATAGGCTCCAAAGCTACACAGAGAAACCCTGTCTCGAAAAACCAAAAAAACAAAAAAACAAAAAAAAAAACAGTGTCAGGTATGGGTTACTCCTTTCTGAGTTGTTGGTCGATGGGTTCCCATAGACTTCCCCAAACAGTATAGCCATTACTCTTCGTTACTCTCCCAAACTTGATGATAAGACCCTATTTCTAAAGACACCACACATCCGAGTCATGGATATGGAGGAACTAAGTTAGTACGGCCCAGACTGGTAGCTTTCATGATGCTAGCAGGTTCTATGCACACTACTTGGAGAGGAAAGTCACCAACAGTCTTACACACCCTAGGACCCAGTAACCAGCCACAGGATTTGAAAGCTCTCTATACAAGATGGATCCAATGCCTGGTACCATTAACAAGGCCAAAGTCGGTGGTTGGCTAGGTCATAGGCCCCAAAAGAGAACATATTACTGTCATTCTGATAAATGGATATAATGACAAATTTCCTCTTGGTTCTTCTCTTTATACCCATAGATCAGTATATCAATCAATCCTCATGGGAGGGAGGAGTTTCTTTTTACAGTAGATGACAACAGAGAGTCTCACAACAGGTCAGCATGCAGAGACTAAGAGACCATGGAGTGTTCAGCTCTAAATGGGACATCTGCCTCCACTCCATCATCCCAAATTTAGAGATTATCACAGAAGTGGGGCTAGAAAAATGATAAGAGAGAGGAAGTAGATTTCAGTAGCAAGATGTCTGATGTGACAGCACAGCAGTTGTAGCTAGGACTGCATGCATGAGACATGCACAAGATCAAGCTATGGAAAATAGAAACGCAGGTGGGGGAGGGGCTCATGAAGTCCCACCCCTATTGGCAATTGATGGCTGCCAGAGAGCCATTGGGAGAGTTGGTTTTCTTCAGGGATGTGGGCCCTGAGAGGCTACCCAAATTCCAGTAGGTGGTCCCACACCTATGCACATACAGTCAACAGTAAGTAGACTCCGTAAGCATGAGGTGGAGAGAGAGAGAACATGAAGTTGGGAGGGGAGGTTGTATTCAAGGGGAGAGAAAGGGGTAGGTTCGATCTAAACACATATGCATGTATGAATATTAAGTAAAATATCTTAAATACAAAACAATGGAAACTTACTTTAAAACTACACACTCAAGAAAAGATAGGCTCTCTCCACTTTCTTTTGTCCTTTCATCTGCCAACTGCGGAAGCTAGTTCAACCTTGAAGCCACATGCTTGAAGACCTTGGCACCACACTGTGGAGCTTGCCGCAGAGCCTCTTCACAGCATGCATTGTACTGTGGTATGAGTGACAAATAGATCTTTCTTGGGTTCAGCCAGACATTTTGAGGTCAATTGCTATAGCAGCTATGGTTACTTGTCTTGGCTAATAGAATATCACAGATGGTCCATTCCCAGACATCTTAAAGATACTTTCTCTATATTAAGAACACTTTTTGGTTGTTGTTTCTCTTTTGCTTAAAATTTTTACTTA